TACATATTGCTTACCTAGAAAAGCAAGTTTAAAAAAAAAACAATACAATTGCATTTCTCTGCACTTCCCTGATGTAATCTGACTTATTCTACTTAACCCTGATAATTTTTGAAACCTGTAGCAAGTGTCTTCCTCTTCCAAACCATCATAACCATCTCCTGCACATAACTCATAAGGCCAATTATTATTTCTAATTCAGATGTGTTGGAAAAATGACAATGTCCAATGTATTCATCACCACAGACCTCACATTAACTTCATCAATGGTTAGAAAATGTAACTCTGCATTCCAACAGTAGACAAAAAACCATAAATAATACATGGAGCTAACAAAAAAACTGAAACAATAAAAAGATTTCAGCACTTGAAGAAAAACAGGGAATGGAAATACCCACTATACATGAAATTATGTTTTCTTTATGTTATGCATTCTTTTACCATTTATCTACTATGTAACAGACACAATGCTAATATGAGTTAAATAGAGGTGAACAACAATACGCTAAACCTGTAAGTAAACAAAGCCCAGCACAGTGGCTCACACCTGTAATCCCAGCACTTTGGGACGCTAAGCCAGGAGGATCAGTTGAGGCCATGAATTCAAGATCAGCTTGGGCAACATAGCAAGACCCCATCTCTACAAAAATTTTTAAAAAGTTAACCAGGAATGGTGGCACCTGCCTGTAGCCCTAGCTACTTGGAAGGCTAGGGCTGGTAGACGGCTGGAGCCCAGGAGGTTGAGGCTGCAGTAATCTATAATTGTGCCACTGCACTCCAGCCTGGGTAACAGGCTGACAGACCTTGCCTCAAAAACAAACAAATAATAGATACCCAGTTTTAAATTATGGCAACTAATATAAAAATACTACTGGCAGAGAGAATGCCAGGGGAAATATTTTAGTTTGTATAGCAAGGAATGGCACTCCAACAAAGATCTGAAGGGAAAGGGCCCTCACAAAGACAAGGAGTAACAGCGTCTCAGATCAGATTAACAACACCTGCAAAGCCTTGAAGCAGAACAGGGCTCAGCATATTTGCTGACCTGATGGAAAGCCAGTGTGGCCGGAGAATACACACACTGTCCTCTGCACTGTATGCTTATTGCCTAAATCAAATGATAAACATTAACAAATACATTAGAACAATCACAGAATGTACTTCCATAAACCTTTCCCAGCAATATTCTTCCAAATATTGTGCTTATTTACCATATAAGCCATTACCATCATAAATTATTCATTTATAAGACCACTCTCAGTATAACTGACCAGAAATTGGCTTAAATATTTACTGCAAACCAAGACACTCCCTATAAAAGGTTCTTCTAAGTTACATATAGGGGCCATCGACTGCATATAAATGTAAAACACAACCACAATTTGGAATATTAGAAAACACTTATAGAAATTTTATACCTTAATTACTTTCCAAGAAAGAAACACATTTATTTCTCTGAAAACCTATTTATATTGAAATTGAGTGAAAATTGTTCTTAGGCTAGAGAGAATACCGTGAATGATCTGATGCTCTTTAATAATAAAATGAATGGTTGTGAGGGAATCATGTTGCCAGTCTTATGAATCTGCTCAAATTTTAGAAATGAGACTATTCCTCTGATTTGTATCTATCTTTATATTTTAGTCTAATTTCGTAAATCTGGTTCCTTTAGTCAATTAAAACATGTAATTCTCTAGCAATAGTTCTCAACCTTTTTCAACTCCACAGAATTTGTCTGAGCACATCCTTTAGTAATATCCTGTGAGGTTCAAAAAAAGTCTCCTTCTCCAGAGACTCTTATGTCTCCTGCCTTCTGCACTTCACTGGAGAATCGTAATTTTAATACTGGAAAAATGGAAGGTTAGAATGATGACCAAGGACAGTTTTTATCATAAGGGCAAACCCCTGTGGAAGAACAAAATGGACAACTTGACAGTAAATTGAATCTCTATATATCTGAGTCCTTAACAATTCCCATTAATTTCAAGTAATTATTTTCTATTAATATAGCCTTTCAAATCCCATATCATGGTTTACAAATTTCAAGTGGTTACTACATATTCTCATTGATAATCAAAGATCATTTTCAAAAGTTGCAGCTCTGGCTCTGCCACTATCTGAGTATTCTTGGACAAGCTACTTACCTCTCTGCTTCAATCAGTCAATTGAGAAAGACAGAGGTTGAACACACTGATCTCTGAGCACCTTCCCTATCTTTAAATTACAAGAGTATAGATCCATAACATGTAGAAAAACAATGCTTATATGACATGATATCTAGAAAACAATCTGAAAAGAATCAATATAAGTACCCACTTCATTAGGCCTTGTAATTCAGAATCTAAGCCATCTAAATAATATTTATTAACATAATTATGAAAATTTTCTTCTTTTCTAGAGAAACAAGAGAGGGTAAAAGGTGTGATACCTTCCACCCTCTCTTACTTGTTTTAGTAGGATCAGTAGTTTTAGTAGAATTAGAATCTGAATCACAGAGCTCCACACCTCACCTTCTCTAAGTACGTGTGGTCCTTCACCACACACTGGTATTATATGCTGCCTACCCCGTTACAGCATTTAACTAGGAGCCTCGCTCCTATTAAACAGGGAGTGGCTGATGAGTAAGGCACACTTTTAACCATTCTTTTATTTTCAATTTTCCACCAGTTGCATTATTATTATTGCTATTCCTAGTCAACTTAGAATGTGGGGGTCAAGCTAATTAGCTTACAACAGGTGACCTTTCTTTTTTAAATTTTTTTTTTAAGAAGCACCATTCTATGTTTGTATCTATAGTCACTGACACCTCCAATTATTCCAAAGTCTTCCTACATAATCATTATGTGGTGAAATTTCATCAGTTATTTCCCCAGGCACACTAGAGTGGACTGCAATGGGCCTGACTGACTGGAAACTCTCGAAGTTGAAATTAAGTTATCTGAATAATGAAACTTCCTTATGGCATTTTCCAAAAGACTAAGTTTTAATGTTGCATGCCAAAACAATATCATGCAGATATGTCAGAAGTGGAGATGCACATGATAATGAACCTGTCTTCCAAGAGAACTTTCACAAATATTTTCACATTTGTATTAACATACAAAGATATGAAAATGACACTACACCTTCAATTAAGAGGGAGAAGAATAAAGCCATCCCCAAGTGATTTAATGTCTTCTTTGCTCTCTGAGAAATACTATTCTATTACTATAAACCACCCATTTTTCAATTCACTGTAATTTAGTGTTTCATACACTAACATGGACACTAAAATCTGTCATTATTACTGACCAAGCTGTCATCACACCTACCCAGTCATGCCAGAGCTGCAGCTTCTGACTCTGAGAGCTTATTTATCTCATTTTGTTTTATAGGCTCAAGAAGTGATAGTTGGTCTTGTGTTTGTTTGTTTTTAGTAAAAAGAAAAATTAATTCAGAAAATGAACACTACCACACATTTGTCGTTTTTGCACATAAAGGATGTACTCTGTGAACTGTATCATTCAAATATTGTTACTTTAATACTGTAGATGTCATAACATAAACAAACAAAATTGAAGACTTCTTCTCAGTCAGTATTATAACAAACCCCTCATTTCCTCTAGGCTTAATGCGGATATGGAACTGATCATGAACCCAATGTTTATCAAAATAAGCAAACCTGAGGAAGGTGATAAATGAGGAGTGGCAATTCCTTAGCTAAGTAATAGGCTCCATATTTTAGGGAAAATAGTTTTAAACATACTTAAGATAATGATGATAACCTGCATCAATTTCAGAGTAAAGACTTCACAGAATTGTGCAAAAGATAAGAGATTGTATTTTGTTTGCGTGCCTCCAAAAAAATCCAGAGTATATGGTGCTTGCATATGGTCTTATGCTACCTGGACTGTGTCTGTTGTATCCTGATTAGTTTCCACAGTAAAACTAAAGCCAATAGAGCCGGGCGCGGTGGCTCAAGCCTGTAATCCCAGCACTTTGGGAGGCCGAGGCGGGTGGATCACGAAGTCCAGAGATCGAGACCATCCTGGTCAACATGGTGAAATCCCGTCTCTACTAAAAATACAAAAAATCAGCTGGGCATGGTGGTGCGTGCCTGTAATCCCAGCTACTCAGGAGGCTGAGGCAGGAGAATTGCCCGAACCCAGGAGACGGAGGTTGCGGTGAGCCGAGATCGCGCCATTGCACTCCAGCCTGGGTAACAAGAGAGAAACTCCGTCTCAAAAAAAAAAAAAAAAAAACTAAAGCCAATAAAGGAACTCCCTCAATGTGAGAGTGATTAGAATTCTATTCTGCAAGAACAGTTTAGTTTATAATATTTATTCCTGGTAGCAAAATAGTTCCTTCCACAGAGGCAGTTTCTTCACTTTTACTTAATAAAATCAAATTATTACAAGCTGTGTTCCTTCTGCTCTTTCTCAGCACATATTTATTTCACAATGATAAGTTTTCCTACTTTGTGAGTGCCAGTTTTTCTGGAGTAAGTCCATTACTCAGTTTTTAATAAAAGAGTAACTTTTAATAATTAAATGGCCAAGTCCTATTAAATGTTTAAATATTGTGATACAGATTATTCTGATACAAGCAAATAATTATTATTGGCTTATTGACTACAATGGTACCAAAAGTTGTATAGAAGCAATGTTTTCCTAGCAGGCCTATAATATTTGTTATTATCTTTGTTTTGGTAACAACTCCTAAATGAGCAAACTATGAACTTTTATACAGTGAGAATAGCTTAAAGCTTCCCCTAATAAATCTTCTTGGTCTTATGCTGTATTTCCACACCATTGAAAGAAAAAGCTGATATTGCACAGTTTTGAAGTACACTGTTCTCCAAAGTATATGCTTCATCAGCAATTTATTTTAACATCCACATCTCCCTCTCAAAGGGAATTGAAACTAATTATGTATTGTCCCAAATGCCTAGATACCACTGACACCATATGAATTCATATATTATTCAAAAAGCTGATCTTTTTTTACTTATTAATATGACTCTTAGGTAAACTGTATCTCTATTATAAGAGACTTTGCTTTATGCCAAGAACAAACTCTAGCTATGATAGTTAAGGAGACATTATTTCCAATATGTCTACAAACACTCGATTGGAAGGCTGCTTATTCCAGAAATTTTTAACTAAAAACACAGCTTACTCCAATTCAGGAACAGAGGGTCAAAGGAAGATAAAGGAAGCAGGTGTTTGTAAAATTCTTCAGAAAAAAAAGGCAAAATAGTTTTCATCCTTAAAAACTTTACTCAAATCTAACATAAACCTTGATTTCAATTTAATGTACCACAAATCCTAAGATAATCAACTAATTTCTTATGACTACATCTGAAAGATTTTAAAGTCCTTTCATTGTACCATTTAGCCAGACTACCTGTGCAAATTATAATCATTCTTTTGTAATATTATAAAACTTAGGTAAAAGTGTTACAGAGTAAAACTAAAAGTCAGAAACACATTCTGAACAATGTTTATATCTCTTGAGAAAAGAGCTTCCCAAAAGAGCTAAGGGCTAAGCCTTCTAAGAAGCCAATACATGGGCTATCCCAAACAGAAAGCCATACCTATCAGTTCCTGTGGGCCATCAGTCATAACTATAAAAAACCACTTTCTGAAACAAGGTCTTTAAGTATTCAAATAAATGACTAATATTCAACTTATTTTCAAGCTTTGTTGTAGGACAATATTTTTAATCAAAAACCTTAACACTAAATCTGTGCTGCACCTCAGAAGTACCTGAAGGCTTACAAATGCCCAAGCCCTACTCCTAGTGATTCTAAGCTCATTGGTCTGGGGTGGGTTCTGGACATCGGTACGTATTTTAAGCTCAGATAAAGAGTTGAAAAACATTATTTCACACAAAAGGATATGAGTATAGAATAATAATTCCTACCCCCACCTCATATCATAGCTATCAAGTTTTTTGTCTTGCTGCAGAAGGAAAATGCATTATTTACAGCACATTAAAAATGGCATATGCTGAGATTCTCTACCTATCCCTTGGAATGAGACTGTTCTCTTGGAGGCAATAAGTACATGGTATTAAAGAATAAAAAAGCCCTTTTTTCTAAGATGGCATATATATATATACACACACACACACACACACACACACACACACA